TCTCTCCCCTGTGTGGCGTGGTTCCCCAGTAGGCTCCTCCGATCTCTAGCTATGGTAAGTAAAAGAAGCGGGCAAGGCTGGCTGCCTCGTCCCAAAGCTCGTGCCCTGTCTGCTGGTGTTCTCACACTCTTTTTCTCTCATCTTTACTTTTTTTTTTAGATTTTGTGACACTGGTGGCCTTTATTGGAAGTCATGGGACAGGAAATTAGCAGAGAGAAAAAGGGAGGAGATAGCAATGAAATGAGCCTGCAGATAGCTGTGTTTAGGACTAATAGCTTCTGTATATTGGCCTCTTTTCAACCTCTAAGCCCCCATCATGACCAATTACAATTTATTTTTCTTTTATTTATTTAAAAAAAAAAACCTTTATAGAACAAAAACAATCCATAATGGTCTATTTTTTATTTTAAAATCATGGCATTTACAGTGTACAGGAGAGTTTACAACTTTACGGATATGAAATATCTTCTCTTATTTCAGTCATTGTACTAATATGTTTATCAGTGTCTGCATTTGTATTCTGAACTGAACACAACACACATTTTCACAAAACACAAAAAAAATTCTCTAAAAATGTTTAAAAGTTGTTGACTGTAAGCCTCAAAGGAACAAGCAGAACCCTGGTGCCCCTTGTTAAACCGCTGTGTGATTTCTCAACTCTTCTGAAGAACATGTCCATTAAAAGTTCACCCAAAGTACTTGTTTTCCTTTGTTGTGGAACACACAGTTTTATGATAGACAATCATTGGGCTATTATTAACTATATTATGTCCAAAACTTTTACTAAATGATGTTCTCACTGAAACATGAACCTTGGACCTAAGCATCAAAGCAGGAATCTGCATACTGAACACCCTGGAATGGGTCGATGCAAGTTGTTAATACACATCTGCACACTTTAAGAGTTTGCGAGCTGATATCATATCTCTAAATGTGTTTAGGTGTGAAAGTTTGTAAGGTGAGATCATGGCCTTGTACCCTGACAACATGAGAAACCTACTCTCAGCTACAGATGGAGCTACTACAGTTTTACAAGCTATGTTTGTTTGAAGTCTAATGCCTGTTTGTAGCTTCATCTAAAGGTGACAATGAAACAACTGGAAAGCAGTTTGCGAGCTTCCCCTCCGGTCATTTTCCATTCTTCGCCTGGTGAATATGGAGTACACTGACCAGAGCTTTTCAAAGCTCCTCTGAATACTTTAACAACCAGTCTTTAGATACACCTATAAACCAGAGATTTTCTGTTTATGTCATAGCAAAGAGATGAAGCTATAGGATGAAGAACATCCTGGCAAAGGCAAATGGAAGACTGTCTTCAAAAGAGCATAGCTCCTGACCATTAGAGACATTCATTTACTTGCTCTGACCCTTTAAGAGAATGAGGTCGAGGGGAACACAATGATTTCTCACCATCTTATTGGTATGACTTAGAAACTGTCATGAAGGAAACTAACTCTAACAGTTGTAAGTATGATGTCAGCCCTAAACTTAACCCACAACTTAATTCACACCATGTCTCCAGACCGAGGAACTATAATAGGAAATTTAACATAGTGCTCTGCCCTCATAAAGCCAACAGGTCAAATAAAGCCTAGTTAAGATATAGAGGATGATCTTTTATTTCCAGGTTTATCATCTAAATAAGTGGTCCTCCTTATTGTCAGTCGGGTGAAATGTTTATTTAAGGCATTACTATATGCTCATCCCGTTAGCTATCATTTTCTGTGGTGAGCTATGGTTTCAGACTGTCATTGAAGCTCACCTTTCTCACCTTTCTCACTGGCCACGGGTCGTAAGAGAAAAAGTCTCTACAAAGTGTTTTGGAAGAAAAGAAAGGCTTTAGAAGAGGCAGATATATCATGGGACGTTTGCGTGGAGAGCTGTCCATGCAAAGCATTATGGGATTTGCTGTCACAGCGGCCCGCTGTTGCCATAGGCTGCCGCTACCTTACAGCGGCGACTAATAACAAAGTTGGTGCAGACACAGTGCAGTGGACCAACGGGGAGGTGATTATCTGTCCAAACAATAAGTTGACTGAGTTCACTCGGTAAAAAGTAAATGCTGCTCAAAATATTTCAAAATCCATCATATATCTCGCAATTTTGTTTACAGGAATCAAGGTGATTGGAGCCAATTCAACCTGGAAAGGCTCACACAGGGAAAAGCTGCAATTACAAAAATATTCAATCATTCATAGAGGTAACTTATTTAAGGATAAGCAGCTCATTTCAAGGACTCGTTGACTCTCTGCAATCCTCGCACTGAGCATGCAAGTAGCGACAGTGGAGAGGAAAACTCCTGCTAAACAAGAAGAAAAATCCAGCAGAGCCAGGCTCAGTGCGAACAGCCATCTGCTTAGGTTGACTGGGGTTCATGGAGCAGAACCACACATAAATAAAATTATTTCTTTGGCACTCAAGTCCCGGCAGAAGACTTTGATACTGTGAATCAAAATTCCCTTGAATGAGTAACCTAGAAATGGATTTTTCTGGGGCCGAACACTGGTGGTGGAATAGGCCAGAGGGTGAGTGAGACTGAGAACAGTCTGAGAGTGAAGGAGAACATGGGGTGGAGGTGGGTGAAAGTTTGCTTGTGTGCAGGAGAGAGAGGCTAGGCAAGGAGCTATATAAAGAGGATCTTTAGATGATGATTGACTTCTGAGAAGGTGTGGCCCCCGAGTTGATTGGCCGGAGCTGAACAAGTGACATCACAGGTGGTTCAGGTGTAGCTAATAAGAGTTTTCCAGATTTAATTTACCCTTAGGCTTCTCACATGGCCCAGGGAATAAAGGCCACTGGGCTCTAAAACCTGTTGGCCAGTATCCAAACAATTTGCTATTTTTTTGTGTTGCATTAACAGTGTCTATGGAATGTGATGAGATTGTTTGTATACTGTATTATTTTCTTGATTGATGGTATGCTGACTAGAGAAAGCTGCAAACTAACTTATCCTTTTTTGAGAGGGGATAAGTAAAGTTTTTCCAAACTGAACTTGATGTTTTCAAAGGCTGGTCTTGGTTTTTAATGTCACAAAGCAAGACTGCTGAAGTTCTATGCTCAACTCTCTATTTGAGGTCCTTCCTATTTTTGGGGGTTGTGGTGAAACTTTACCAAACTATTGGTACATTTGTAATATCTTTTAACCCAACATGAAGCATCCCTTGCCATTTATGTAAAAGCTGTTACTCAGCTGTTGTGTGCAGTGTCTTCTAAGGTGGCGATTAGAAAGGAAGAACCCTGATGTTTTTCAGTGCTAGTTTGATAAAGAAACTAGGGTTACTAAAGTTGATAGGGTATCTAAAGGGCAGACAGCGGTAAAGAGCAGCAGCAACAAAAGGGGACAAGATGAAGAAGGGAGGAGAGGGAAGGTCAGGAAGGATGAAAAAAGGCAAAAGGGCTAGGAAAATTAAAGAGATGGTGGAGTAAAAACAGGCCACCCAAACTGCAAACACAACCTGCGGTCAGAGGTTCACGTGTAGTTCAGGGTGACCCTAACAGCACCCCCGAGAACTTGAAAGACTGACCATGAAAAAGACAACGAGGGGGGAAAAAAGAGTGAGGTTATGGGCTGGAGGGAGGAGAGAGGTGGGACAACAGAGTAATAATTAAGGTCTGCGGGAGCTCAGGAAAGGAATCCCTACAGACGAGGTTTCAGCCGACGCTGCAGGTTTGTACAGAGGCCAATTAACACATTCCTCTAAGTAACCAGCAACACCTAACCTATGTAAAAAGCTCACTTTCACATCACTCCTTATCTCACTGATTATACATTTCTACTGATTTATGCTAACCACGAGTGACTGGTAACCTGACTAAAGAGAGTTTTGTCCTTTTACAGCTTAACAGAGGCACCCCAAAAAACCACTGCCCTGAACAGGATTAAACACTGAGAATAAACTGAAAGGATGAAAGATTTCAAACTGTGCAGAACCTCAACATGTTAACATCTTGAAATTCAATTTGGGCAAAGTCAGACCAAAATTACCTCTTACTTTACCAGAAAAAACCCATCAATGGTCACCTTGAAGAAATGTATCTTCTTTATTTAACTTAGCCTTACTAAATTCAGAAACTGTTGAAATACATTTAAGTTATCATACAGAAATTATAATTAAAGAAATTGAAAAAAATGCAAAGAAATCAGTGTTAATTTAAAATTGTATATTTAATTGCTTATTGAACAGCTAATTCCTGGATTTGTTGTATTCTTTTTGGTAAATTTTTGTCAAGGCTCTGAACAGAGGCCCTAGTATTCAAGGCAAGACAGACAATGGGATAATTCAAAAGTGTTTATTAAGAAGCGAAACTGTGGTAGCAGCAGCCAGGGCATCTTATCAGGAACCTCTGCAGGAGAGAAACACAGGTTAGTGACCACATGGGAGTCACGCGCTTTCCTCAGTGCCTCTGTATCACTGAGTTCTGTGTTTTTGGTGATTTACGAACCTCCCCATTCATCCAGGGTCGTTGGTTGGCCCTGTTTTTTGGTCATATTGAACAAGAACCTCGATCTCCAAACTGGTAAAGTCTTTCTTCTTCGTCTGTAATGCCATACCTGTGAATGAACACCGTCTGACAAGTGCTTGAAGTCATAACCTTATATGGATTTATCAGGGCGGCAATTATGCAGATTTGCAGTTTTCCAGGAAGCGCGTTCATTTACACACAGGTGGACTAAATCGTGTTTACAAGGATTAGTTACTCAGTTATCAGAAGTTTAGAAAATTTTTTGAATCCTATGTGGCAAAGGAATAGGAGCCCATGGTAGGAGAAAAAGTTGTACAAAATTATAAAAACAAGTTGTTGCATGAGGTCCATTCTTCTCTTGGAAATTAGAAAAGTGTATTCCATGTTTTTCAATCTCTGCTGAAAGTGTAACCTTTTCCCCTTCATGGTTGTACTAATTGTTTGAAAGGCTCTATAGAGATGGATTGAATTGAAATGCTCAAACTCCTGAATTCTCCTGAACACAAGAAAAGACGAAAAGATACAAGGTACGCAACTGATTGATCAGAAGTGCAGTTTTATTGATGATACTAACGGTGCAACTCTCTGCAGGTATCAGTTAAAATACAGAATACATTCAGCCTGTTTTCCATAAATCATTTTATATTTTATAGTAACAACAGCAAATAGATTTGTCTCAGTGTTGCTCATGCAAAAGCACAGTGATCAGTTCACACAGGTAAACACATCTAACTTACAATAAAAATACAGTCTTATGGGCACTTTTTTCTTGCTGAGGCATTGGTTAGTGTCACTGCAGAAGGAGAAGGCACGCTGCATTCACTTAAAGCAATAAATTCTGAAAAAAAGAGCTCTGAGTTTAAGCTTAAGGGCATCTGGATACTTTTGCCTGAGGTCATACGCAGAATTTTCTAAAGCAGGAAGTCCATGGCTCTGTATGCAACAACTGTAAGACACACAATACTAAATGAAAGTATCCTGTATATTATCTGGACCATTAAAATGTTTTTGAAGGGTTTTTTTTTTTTTTTTGCAGGATTTTATGATCAACACATTTTCTAACACATCAATGCTTTCAGTTTATGTTGAGACAAAAATATATTTTTTTAATAGATGAATTCATTTATAAGGGAAAAAAAGGCTTTCCAAAGCAAGCTGTGCATGATATCAAAAAGTAACCCCACCCTGAACACAGTAGTTAGTTGCAGCTCCTTTAGGGGCACCAACTGACATCAAACAATTCCTATAATTTGTAAAGAGGTTTCTACATCAATGTGGAGGTACTTCTGTCTGCGTCTCTTCCAGAACCGTTTTAATACTAAGACTTTTTAATGTCATGCTAAATTAATTCAGCCAAATGTAAATATGAACTTTGACTTGGGCACACCAAAGCCTGAATCGTTGAAAGGTGGACTTGTTTTTTTCGGATAATTTTACTGCTGGAGAACCTTAGTTACTAGCTGATGGATAGACATTCATCTTCAGACTCTACTGGTCATTTTACATCCTTTATTCCTACACCACCATGCTTCATTGTTGATTTATTTATTTATTTTTTAATAATGCCGTGTTAAGGAGGCCATTTCTGTGAAGACTCTTTCTTATTATGAAATCAAAAACTTTGACATTAAATGAGCCAAGCGAGGCCTGCTGAGCTTGCTAGTACTGGGTTGTTTTGTGACCTCCATTTGACCAATTTTGTTGGAAAGGTCCTTTAATCTTCCCTATATTCTTTGAATATTGAAAATTGGTTTACATTATGGTATTTTTTAAGGGTCCAAAAGCTTATAAAACTTATTCTAAACCTTTATTAACGAAATATTCAAAAGCTTTAGATTTACTCTGGAAGTAAGTTTGATGCAACAAAATAGATTTTACCTTATTTTTATAGTGAGGGACCATATGTTAAGGCTGTTAAACCTCTTATTTATCATCTGTTCCTCCAAGATGTCTAAATGATAGTCAGTATCCATTTTATAACAAAACTAAAAACAAGACATCGTATGATAAACTAGTTTAAAAAAAAGGCTTAGATGGGTTTTGTTACTTTAGCTTTTTTCCCCCTTTATAATAATTTCAACGGTATATGCTGCAATTAATTATATGCTCTCTAACTAAAAAAATAAATAAATAAAATTTCAGATTATTTTCCTTTTGTTTCTCGTGTTCTGGTTATGAAAGGATCAGCAGCTGCTGTAGGATTTAAAAACCTGGCAAACAGACAGCGTTATGAGTTCTTATCAGGTCAGTTCATCCATCCTAGAGCTGCTCTGAACTAACAAAACCCAAGCTCTGAGATCAACAGTAACAAATCCTCAACTTAACCTGCTGAACCGTTAGAGCTGTGAGGCTCGAAGAGGAAGAGAGGCAGCAGTGAAGCAACAGGGAACAGAATGGGAATGAGAAGAAAGATGTTTACTTGTTACTTTGTTGAATGTTGTGTTACCATAGTTAAAGTCTGATTCCGAAAACTAAACATTTTCTTTATTGTTTGAGTAGTTACTGATTAATAACTACTGTAATAACTGATAATTTCCAATTGCTTTAAGAAAATGAAATGTGGCCCGGGTTCAGAGATACTGTCAGTGGTTTAATATTTCCAAATAGGAAGAGGGGCCTCAAGTTAAGTTTTGATAAAGTTCCCATTCAGCCTACCTCAAGTTCCCTGTTGTTCTTAAGTTTTCATTACTGTGAAAATCAAGCTAAAAAGGTTTAAACACAACAACTGCGTCCTTTTATTTTCTTAAAGCCTTTCCTTAAAGGTCAGCTTGAGTGCTGAAAAAAACAGGCTGCATAAAAATCTTGGACAGAAAATCTAAACTTAATTCCATTTGACAAATCTTTTTTAAACTTTAATCTTTATAAAGATAAACAAACATTTTCAGGTATAATTTTAACTTTCAGATAGAGATCAGCTCTAACAGCGTGGCCACTGGATAGCGCAATATCTAAGCAAATGCTAACACCATTAGGGATTTGCTACAGAGAAGATCAGAATGGTTACATTTTGAAAACGGAAAAAAGAAAATCTTATTATTGAAATGAAAATTTAATTCCAATCAATCTAAAATGTTTCATCGGGTTCCTCTGTTTGATTTAGACTAATTGTGTTTCAATGCGCTGCATTATTAAAATGAACTATTAAAGTAGAATTTGATCAAATAATTATCAAATATTCCATAAAAATGCAAATTAAGGATGGAGTGAGGAGAATAAAAGTGCAACTTTAGGAAAGACTAAAGAGACAGCAGCTAAGTGGACACTTAGGCAGGTTAGACAACACCTAATAGCATCATGTGATCACATCGACTCAGAGCAAAATACATCCAATCAAATAATCAATTACATTTCTACACTCTGCAAAACAATTTTCGAGTAAAATGCTAAACAAATATGGAGTTTTTTAATCAAATCTAACCTTGGCAGCATAAAGCATAAAGGGATAAAAAAAATAGTGTCTGTATGTTTCTTTGCTCTTTTGATTACTGTATGTTGATGCTCAGAATCAGGGTTTTAAAGTAAAACTTGACTGACTTCAGGTTCTTCAATCAGAGCTACAGCAAGATGAGAAGGCCTCAGAAGACAAAAGCATGAATATCACTTTTGAATAAATTTCCTGATTTTTATGTCCTTTTGACGTCTTTTCTTTCCTCAAGTTTCTTCCACATCACTGATCTTTAGCCTTGGCAGGTCCAAATGGTCCAACCATCTTCATGGCAGCGTAGTTCTGAGGTGTAAAACAAACACAGAGATGCCAAGATGTTAAAGATAGTAAGATTACTATTATTAACATTTATGTCAGTTTGGCTGACATATATATTTACCATGTTCTCTTACAAAAAACATGTGTTTTCTGACACAATTTTGGATTAGAGCTCCGAACAATGATCCAACTGAAACTCACCGGGAAGGAGTACAAGAAGACACCCAGGAAGAGGAAGATGAGGAAGAGGATAATGAAAAGGATAATGAACCACTTGAATCGCCTCCACACAATAAATTTGAGGGTCTTATAGGGCGAGGAGAACCAGAGGAAGGACGTCTCTGGACGCCTTTTGGACAGAAAAAGGGGCATAAGGATGAAAAGGGGAGATTTTAATGTTATGTTTTAATGTTGATCTCTGCAGGTGTGTAACTCACTGGGGCTCCTCTAGATGGGGGTTCATGTTGGGCTCATCTCTGCCAAGCCCAGCTGGTCTCTCCTCATGTTCCTGCTCTGTCACTATCTCCAGGGACATCTCCACTTTCCCCTGAAACACAGACATTCATCCTCAGACTCCTAAATTTTTGTACCTGCTTCTGCAGCCATTTCCCCAAACCAAAAAAATCAGGACTGCATTTGTATAAAATGTGTCTGTGGGTGTTCTCACAGCAATTATCTTCTCCCCGTTTTTCTCACAGGTGCAGGGCCACCATCCTTTAACGGTCTTCTGTTCAAATAGAGAGACCAGTTTTTCCATGGGCTGGTCCAGCGTCTGCAGGGTGCATTTCTCTGGAGACTTGGCAGGACGCAACATGTGGTTCAGGTCCATCACTATGTGGCCTAAACACACATTTATGGCATTTTAAAGACCATAGTTAAGACCAAACACTTCTCAATGAGCCACTATCCCAAATGTAAAACCAAAGTGAACTTGTCCTGACCTCTAAGGCTTACCAACATTTATAATTCCTAACCTCACTGTTTGCACTAACTGCAAAAAACAAGGTGGACTCAAAAGATGGAAGGACAATCCAAAGAGTAACATAGGTTATCACTTTCTGCTATTCCACAGCAAATGCAAAATGCATTATTTGGACAAGCTCTTTTTTTTCCATGGATTAATGTGGATGTTAAAATCAAACAATAATTTTCCTTTTGTGTTCTGTATGTACCTGAAAGAAGATTGAAAATGTTACAGTTCACATATGTACAGAGTAAGTATTCGCTCCCAGTGTTTCATAAATGTTTTTGTGTTTTACTTTCTGAAATATCCTTTTTTTAGAGAGCTACATAGAGCTTAACCTCTTTTGAGGTCAATTTTTAAAAAGTGGAGTACCCATCCACCCATCTTCTTCTGCTTATCCAGGATCCGGTTGTGGGGGTAGCAGCTTCGGTAGGCAGGCCAAGACATGCCTCGCCCCAGCCACTTGTGCGAGCTCCCCCGAGTGGAATCCCTAGGCATTCCCAGGCCAACCGAGAAACAGTCCCTCCAGTGTGTCCTGGGTCTCCCTCTGGGTTGGACATGCCCAGAACACATACGTACCTGGGATCTCGTTCTTTCGGTCATGACCCAGAGCTCATGACCATAGGTGAGGGTATGAACGTAGATGGACCAGAAAATTGATAGCTTTGCCTCTTGGCTCAGCTCTCTCTTTACCACAACGGACCGGTACAGCACTCACTTCACAGCAGACGCCGCAACAATCCGCCTATCAATCTCAAGCTCCATTTTCCCCTCATTTGTGAACAAGACCTCAAGATACATAAACTCCTCCACTAGGGGCAGTACATCCTCTCCAACCTGGAGAAGGCACTTTACCCTTATCCGGCTCAAGTCTGTGAGACCAAATTCTAAGGCCACCAAAACAGATTCCCTCATCAACTTGGCTGCACCTAGAAATTCGGTCCATAAAAGTTATGAACAGAATCAGTGACAGATGGGCAACCTTGGTGGAGTGAAGTGTGGAGTACCTCTCATCAATAATGCACAAGCAATCTTCAGGTCTTTCTTGACAACATCAGCTAAAGTGAGGCTGAATGGAACAGAATCTAGTCAAATACAGCAAAATGTAGATGTTAGGAGGCCAAGGCACATGTCAACTGAGAATGCAAGGGGATGGCCAGATCAGAGTTTTCAAGGAGGGAATTTGTGAAACCAAGAATAAGCTTTTAATGCATTATTCCTTAGTCAATATTGTGATTAATTAGTCTGTGAGTGGTTTTTACAGATGATCCTGTAATGAAAGCTGGTTATTAAAGTTTTAATTATGTTGACATTAAGTATGGAGGTCTGCAGAAAGACCAGACATCCACTGAAAGTGTTTTTCCAGAGTTAGCTCAAGTTCAGAAGCGTGTCTGCAGGAAAGCTGCTTGCGTCTGACCCTCACACCGTTCAGGAAGATTAACCGTCAGCGGTCCGAGCCGACGAGCTGCAGACAGGCAGGCATGGAAAAAATGCTTTGAGGTGGCCACACACCCCAGCCGGGATGAGGAGAGTAAAGCCGAGCGAGACGGTGACAGACAGGAACGGCTCTGAATCTGGAATCCTCATCCTATCACGCCGCAAAGGGACGACCCGTAGCTCCGACCGCCGTCCTCCCCTTTTTCCCGGGCAGGGAAACAAACTGAGGCAAGTCGGAGGGAGCCAGAGGGGTTGTGAGTTATTTCAAGAGACAGGGTTGAGGCAGAGTCAGGGGTGAAGGAAAGGCAAAATTTTGACAGCTTGAGTTCAGTGGAGAAAAAATAAAATCAGCCTCTCCCTCCCAGCCAAAAGTGCCGACACAGTGGAAATGAAAGAGTGTTAATTCTAAAGATAAATGTTATCACAGTAGTTGTCCGTACATCGCACATATGGTTTCTCGGCTAGGTTTACACCCTAATTCCTTTGCCAGAAAAGAGGAAAATCTGTCTGAATGTCAAACTTAAATTGACTTAAGTATTTGTCTACCCCCAGAAGGCACTAATATGCGATTCTAACTCAATTACAGGGGAAATAATATGAATGCAGAGACTTTCTTTTAGCAGAAAAAGAATTTCAGGAATGTAAGAAAAAAACAAAACAAAAAACCAAGAACCTTATTAAATTAAAGTAGGCTCTTGAAATGCTACAATACCAAACATAAGCTGCGCATTTAATCCAAAAATATACAGCAGCATCCATGATTTCCTCCATCTTATCAAAGGTTTTAAATCCTCTTTACTTATTGCAGCATAATCTTAAAGAAAAAAACATAGGAAAATTACAAAATTAATTTTAAGTAGATGTATTCAGACTAGAACATTACATTTTTGTAAAATAACAGGTGAGGACCCTTTACAATTCCCATCATATAAATGCAACTGAACCATTGAGGTAAAATATGATGTGATACTTCAGTACTCTTCTTCTTCAGCATGTTGGTCACAAAGACGAAACACAGATTTGGGCATAAAAGAC